TTCCCAAAAGGGGAGTGAAAAGCTTTCCGCAGAAGAGGAGGCAAAATTGGCAAGGAACAAAATAATAGTATTTGCATTGGATATAATGTCTACAGTGTCTCAATTCACAGAATTCCCATCTCCCCATTGGTTGTGGTTAAAGATCCCATACACTATTCAAAAGGAGAATTATTTTCTCCTGGTGTTTTGCCAACAATCCTTCAGATATATATTGGTCATTCACCTCATGACTGTTTGCAGGATCTTCTATGTGCAGACTTGCTGTAGGATATAAATATTTACAGTTGACGATGTTTACCCATGAAGCACTTTGAGGAGGACTGGAAAGGGAGTTTAGATTCTATAGATAATATATCAAACTCAAGAATTATTAATTTGTTCCTCACCTCTTCTCTTGAAGGCATTTTGATTCCCTTTTATATAGAAGGGAACAGTTTCATGGGAGCCAGGACCCTGCATACCTTTCTTAAGAGACTAATATCAGTGACTGGTGGCAAACTATTCCACCATCATAGAACTGAGCTGACTTTGTAAAGAATAATTAATTAATTAGCATTTTGCTGAGTTACAGTAACTTATTTTGAACATCTATCTACCTGTTTTTATTTCTTATTCGGCTTACCAAAAGTCATTCATTCTTTATTTGGAAGGTCAAAATTCTATCTACTTTCCCCTAGTCCCCAGCTGCATATGGCTCAGAAGGCATGTGAGCAACCTGTTTCCAAGCCTCCACCAACTCTACTAATAACAACAACAACTTGCATTTATATAGTGCCTCTTACACAGAGTAGCATGTCAAGCACTTAGGTAAGTAACAATAAACAACAAAATTACAATTGTATAGCGCCTTTCACGTCGAGATGACGTCCCAAGGCACTGGAGACACAAGCAAGCAAGCAAGAGTATCTGTTATATAAATGTATTTTCATTTTGCTTCATTTATGATTCAAATTCACAAACAGTTTGAATACCATCTTTTAAAACTCGTGTGCACTGCCCCCGTAGGTGTTTTCATCTCGGAGCATCATTGAAACATCATACCATTTATCAAAAACATTCCATGAGATGTTCATTTAGAGACTCATTGCTGCAATTGATTGAATATAAACAGTAACTCAGCAAATGTTTCAAATGTGTTTTAGAAACTACAGTAAGTAACACCATTAGACTAAAATCTGAATTTAATAGTAAATGCAATATTTATATGATCTCAAATACTGTAAATATTATTCAGTATAAATGTTTTATTACACCCTTGGATTGGTATGCTGAAGAGCCTTAACATTAAAACAACAGCTTTCACTGTAGGTCACTTATCGTTTTGAATAAGCAAGGTCTATGATGAATGCATCCCAGCAGCAATTACAGATGTTTGCCATGGCTTCCCTGCAAATACACAGTCACTAAACTTCACCATGAATCTTGTGAAGTACTTTCAGACATCTCAACAACGTCTCAAGGTGTATACCAAATGAAAGATTATTGTAAAAATTGTGAAAAACAGTTGCCATTTTCTGGATGTTGAAATTCGCTCAGGTTTATCTAGATTTATTATTTTAGACCGATGACTATGTTTAGTAAAGATGTAAACAAAATCTAACAAATGACAAGTAACGTCCTCAGTTTTGCATCTCTGTAAGCTATGTATGAGAACACGAATGGGCTATAGTCTCCATTCCTTGACATCATTCGTGAAAGACTTAACCTCTGTTTTCAATTTATGGGTAATAATTGAAGCTGCTTTTTAACACTTGTGTTGGTTATGAGGGTTCCAATTTCCTTTAGCCATGGGCCCTGGTGTTTCTTTACATCCCTGGTATGTGCAATTTCCTTTAGGCTGTCCAATGTCTCTATGTCAAGTCATCCATCCCTTCCCAACTGATGTGTATCCAAGTTTTTATGTTGGATGTTCCTCAATATTTATTCCAGCTCCTTTTGTGCTCCTTGAAGCAATCAACAACAATTTGCACATATATAATACCTTTCACATAGGAAGAACTTCTCAAAACACTTTACAAAAACTGGGTGTGTGGGAACCCTAGCTAGGAGTGAGATAGGAGAGTTAGGAGGGAAGGAGCTGTAAAAGCGAAACCAGGAAAGCACAGACCCACGGAGAGTAGCAGGGAGGACAAACAATGGAGGAAGATAGAGGGGTAAATTGTGATCACTTGAAATGTGAAATAAACTATTCCTAGGACTGGTTCAAATTGCAATGAATGTTGGGAGAGGTCTTCATCATCCCTGTGTTTTACTTTTTCGTTGTCAAGATCAGGAAATGAGCTATGTAATCTAATGTGAAGATATATCAATATGTGGTCAGGTTGTGGCTATTGGGCCATGGTGAGCAAAATGAATACAGGAAGCTGGAGCAATGCAAACCAGAGTACTTGAGCTAATAAAGTTTGGGCTTCAGTAAATTCAGATCCTAATTTGTCCTTTAGAGAAATCTAAGATTAAAGAATATTTGTGGAACTCACTGACATTTAGGAGACAACCAGAGGACATGGCCAGTGATTGTAGGGGGGTAAATTCAGAACGAATCTATGCAAACACTATTTCAGTGAGTGAATAGTGAAACTGTAAAACAGGTTCCCAAGGGAGATGTTTGAAGCAGCAGGAAGTATTGATTCTTTCAAACACAGACTAGATAGTTTTCTTTTAGGAAATAATATTATGGGATATAGTACATGAGTAGTTTGGGACATATGTGCAAGCGACTTCCAGGAAGGTGGAAGGCGAACTAGATGGACCTTGGTCTTTTTTCGTCTAGGATTTCTGAAGTAATCAGTTGATAAGCTTGTGGAAGTACAGTGCATTTTATATAAAATCTTATAAATGTAAGAAATTATAGGATATTACGCAATACCTTGTTAGTTAAGTCAATGAATTTAAAACAAACCTGGAGCTATACCTAGAACTATACGAGTCATATTGTAACATAATAAATGTTAATTAGCAGGTCTGTGTATTTTCACATTTTAAAATTGAATGTACTGAAGTCACACAAGATCCTGAACTGCATTCTGGCCCTGACTTGAATTCCTGACATCACCACTGCATTATTTAGTACTATTTCCTGACCAGGAGAATTCCAACTAGAACACAGATAATTGCTATGCCATGGAGGGAAAAGTAAACGTTGATCCTAATTTGTCCCTAGGAGAAATTAAGGGAAAGTATAGAAGTTCAAGTATATTTGTGGAACTCACTTGCAACAAGGAGATTAATTATCTGATAGACCTAGTGGGAGTACAATGCATTTTATATTAAAACTTGTAAGAGATTAGAGGACAATGCACAACATCTTGTTGGTTGACTCGTTGTCTTTAAATCAGACCTGGAATAATACAAGGTAAAGCACAGTAATGACACAGGTGAACATTAACCAATGACATAGCTGGGAAAACTAGAATTAGAGCCTAGAAATGTCTTCCGAAAGTCTAAATACATTTTTCTGTTATCAATGACTCACCTTTATCCACTATTGATAGTTTACACCCTCGAATTAATTTAAGAAGATTTATGAGTCAGAACTATTAGCAACACATACAATATCTAGGAATTTGTCTTTGCAGTTTATCATTTCACCATGAATGTTGGTATTTTGTTCCACAATCTAGTATTTGATTCAAATTTTCTACAATGCAGAGAAATGTATCTGCATCTAAATTTTCTAAATTTTTCAGAATATTAAACATATCAATCAAGTCCCTCCGTCAGGCTTTTCATTTCAGGAGAACAAGTCCTAAGGTGTTTCTGGTTACTCATAGTTCTGTTCCCTAAACTCTAAAGTAAGTGTGAACCTCCACTACATAGCTAACAGAAATAGAAAGATAAAAACCTTACATAATAATTCAGACGTGGCCTTACTATTGCCAAATATGAATTTAAAATGACCTTTCGACTTGTATGTTGCCCCTTAGGTATACCACCGAAACTACCACAATGATTTTACTCAATCCCAACATTCTGTTGCCAAGAAAGTCACCTTGAAATTAAGCTCAGCGCTTCCCTTGTTCCCCGCAATCCCAGGAGGATAGTCGGTAATCAGGTCACATTGTCACGTGAGAGTAATAAATAAGTTAATGTTTCAGGAACAGGCGTTCACCGTAAGTTGCCTAAAATGTTTAACTTTTTAAAAAAAAGACATTCTGTGATGTTCCTGTTTTTAGATCAGTTTTGCCTTTTCCTCCCTCCCTTCCCAGCAGAGTTGCCAGAAATTAAAATACAATTGTAGCCCAAAGTTCACCAAACGCTAGCCCAATATTATACATTGTCTACTGTCTATGGGTGGCAGATTGGCCAATTTAGGTGAGCGCTTTCAAAACTATGTAAGAAAAAGTTTTCAGGGGAGGAGGAAATGTTTTGGAAGTTTAAATTTATTTAAGAAAAACAATTAGCCACCGGCCACAGTGTTTGTTTTCGATAAAGAGGCAAGTTTCCTTACTCCACACGCCTCTGTTTACCTAGCAGTAAGTACGAACCCGGTTATTAGTCAATTAATGGATCACTTTCTGGGAGTATTAGTCCCTTCAAATCATTTGTAAAACAATAATAATTTGGTCACTCAATCCGCGGCTGTTTGTGGGACACTGCTGTGTGCAATTGGCTGCCGCGTTTCGCCCACAAAATACACAGTCAATTCACTTAACAGTATATATTCTGTGAAGCGCTTTGAGACGTCTCGAAGATGTGATAATATCAAATACAAGGATTATTATTATTATTATTATTTTCACGCAAAGTACAGCAAAAACCCGCACACTTGGGCGTGAAGCCGCCCAACCTGCCGCCTGGGGCGTGCGGTGGGGCTGCAGTGCGCATGCTCGGGCTCCCGCTGTCAGTGGCACAGGGCTGTTTGAAGGCGGAGTCCGGGCGGCAGTTACACACACACACACACACAGGTAAACCCCCCCCTCCCCCTCCCCCACACCCCCACACCCCCCCCCACACACACACACACCCTCAGCACTCACTCACTCACTCACTGCACTCACACGGCTCTGGGTCGGGGGCACAGGGGCCATCTTCCAGCCGCCGGCTCTGCGCTCAGCGCTGTCAGGCCTGGGAGCAAAGGCTTTTACCGGGGTGGAGTAGAGGCCTGGCGCGGCCCGAGGTGAGCTTCTCTGCAGACCTGCATAGGGAGGCCTCGCAGCGGTTGGGAATATTTATCTTCTGTGGTGAGCTGAGATTCCCAGGGTGGCTCCGGTGATGGGCTGGGATGGGATGGGGGGCTGGGGCTGGGGGTCTGGGGGGCTGGGGGTTGGGAATGGGGTTGTGATGGGGATGATGAGGAGGAAAGGACGTCTCTGACTTCTTGTGACTGTGGGGAAAAATAAACTTTCCTTTGCAGGTTTCTTCTCTGTTCTGTCTGTGTTTTGGGGCCGAAGCTGCTGCAGAGCTCAGAGCAGAGAAGGAATGAGGTTTAGCTGACACTGGGTCCACCCCCCATCAACAGCCTTGTGCAAATTATAGATAATAAAAGTCTTGACTTATCGCCCCTCCTCTCTGCAAACCCCAAAAAACTTTAAGAGATTGAGATTTTAGAAGCAGAACATAAACTCCCGTGCGACTTGCTGTTTATCCGCGGGCCTGTGGTTTAGAGGAATACACCAGAGCGTTATGCAGGAATATACATGCAACTAAAATAAGCAAATACCTGCTGAAACTAGTGAGATGTGTCACATCCATGACAACTGTATTGGCTCTGTGAGGCCTCACCAATTGCAGAATTCCAACAATTTTCATGTCAAATTCTAGTGCAGAATTTTGTTATTTTCTTGATAGTGTCATCCCTCACAACAGCAAATCAAATGTGGTATAACAACCCGATGGGCCTTAGTACAGTATGACGCTGTCACACCACGGTTCTGTCCTCTGCTTCGTATCATAGGCACTTTATATTGTTTGTGCAGAAAATATTTAAAACATATTGGCACAAATAACTGTCTTATTTGGAAAACTGTTTTACGTTGCATGTAAAGTAACTAATCAATTCCCCAATAATAACCTGAGCTGGTGTATGTTTCCTTGCCACACCGCTACGCCAACAACAAAACAGCTTCACAATACAACTTGTAAGTTTGTTGAACTGACTGGAGGGATATACTGTGACATAAACAACCTTTGTTCTCTGCATACTTGATATAAACAAAATGGTTATTGGATGAATCAGGAAAACAGCTTATCTCATTTTGTTCAAATCTCCGTATTGCTAGAAGAGCATTTTCTTAATGTGGGCAAACTTCAAATTGCAGGGCTAAAGTTTTTTGGTTTTGTCTTTGAAAACAATAAATAACTGCTTCTTGAACATTTAGAAATTGAAAGTTTTACAATTGCCGAAATTGATTACAGTAACGGTTACTGTAGTTCAATATTTTTGGGGAAATTTCTTATCGAGATGGTCTAATGCCAATCTGCAATGTCTTTACAGAATACATTTAAATAAAATATAAGCAAGAAATTTGAAAATATCTATTGATAATTTGTTTTCTAGTTTAAACATATGTTTTACCAGAAAGCAAGCATACTGCAGAACAATATAAATTGTATTTTGCAGCTAACTGTTTTGGATTTGCTTAATTGTTTGCCCATAAAAACAGTTCGTGCACTGGACAGTAATTATTGCTTTGAGACATTTCAACATAAGATGCTATAAGATTACAAGTTAATTCTTTGCTTCCTGTAAATTAATGCAACCAAAATGTTTCTGCTCTCAGAATAAATGACAGAATTTCATTCCTTCTGTTATTATTGATTGCTCCAGATAATTTCAATAACCTGCCTATTCTTGGTAAGTACATATTATTGGTGAAATGTTGCTATATACAAATGTATAAGGTTTGTATTTGCCAATAATTTATATATTGGTAACATATACTATGTCAGAGGTAGAGAATATGAAAGTGCTTATGTCTATTAACAATCCATTTGAGATTTGAGTGAAGAAAACTTTTTTTTCTTTTGCAGATTGTTTCTTTGTACAGTTTATATATATGAGTAGTATTATTGGACCGATTATTTAAATGTAAACTACTGATTTAATTTGCAGATATGAATTTTCTTACCAGGTGTTTTTTTTTCTTTGAACAACTTTTCTTCCCTCTTACCCCTCCCACTGGGGTAAAACTACCTGGTTCCAGTACTGCAACAAATACAGCTTGTGACTGGCACTTTCCTATTATTTACGTTTGTCCCTGTTTGGGTAGTCACAGACGATGGAAAGGGTTCACATTCTCCTGAGATTGAAAATTCTGATGTTGTAATGCATTCCATCGTTTGGCCCACTGTTGTGCACTATTTAGAAACCAGCGATCATCTTGGTAATCTCTAATTTGTTTTTTAATTGAGTACATTATAGCATCTAACAGTAAATGCTGTTCCTTCAGCTGGGACCTGGGTTTGATTCCAGCCCAGACAGATGGGATGAAAGTGTCATTTCTCTGTGGACTGCTACGAGTCTTGAGTGAAATGAATTTCAATAGTCTGGTCAGGTGGACATGAATCCACAGTGCAAAGTACACAGTGCAAAGTGAGTAATATGTTGTGCACGTTCGGTGATCCAAGTAAGATAGCCCTTAAAAACAGATCACAAATTTGCAAAATGGAAGATTGCACTAGTGCACTTTTCTGAAGATTCAATTCAAACTATGTATCAGGCTGACTCAATGGATTAGAAGTTGTGGGTTCAGCCACATTTTGGGACTTTGAAGTTGTAAACTCTAGGCTGATCAACTCAGGCTGGGAGTGCGCTGCATTGTCAGAGATGCTATCCTTCGGACGAGACATTAAACCGAGGTCTTGTCTCTCCGCTCAGGTGGACATTAAAGATCCATGTCACTATTTGGAAAGAGAATGGGAGTTTGCCCAGGTGTCCTGGCCAACAATACCCCCCAAATACAATTGATAATTCACTTCATAGCTATTTGTGAGATGTTGCTATCTACAAAAAATCATAGTTACTGGAATTTATAGTAAATCTTGTGAAGCACTTTGAGACACATTTTGCCTACAAAATACACAGTCAATCCATATTACAGTATATCTTATGAAGTGCTTTGAGACATGTCGCCGTCGTAATAAGGTGCAATATCAAATGCAAGTATGTATTATTATCCTTCTGACGTGAAAGGAACTATATTAAATGCAAGTATTATTATTATGGAACCATGTAGGAGAGTACTACAATTCATTATCCTGAGAATATTTGATATTAACATGAGTGTGAAGAAGGAACATTTAATATTTCCTAGTCCAACTCCTCACATGCTGATCACAAAATAGTGCAATCTTGTGTAATATAAGTAGGAGTGCTTTTCTCATTTTGTTGGCCGATCTTATTATATCGATCGTCTTAAGTTTTAATATTGCAAATATTGCTGTTTCTCTCACATGACCCAGAGACACTTATTACCCATATTGCTGCAGAATGTTGTTGGCAACAGAAGGTACAAACTCCAATAAAATTGCAACTGAGAATGCTCAAAAATGATAAACCCTATTACAAGAATAAGCCATTTTGGATTGTTTTCAAAGCTGTTATATTTTATAGGTCCCAAGAATCGTAATCTCTTCAAGTATCATTATCCTAGTTTGCGATGTCATTCAAGCACTTTGAACCTGTCAGTAGCTTTTAACATACTTCTCGTAGATTGTTCTTATTATAAACTTAGGATTTTGTGATAAAGTACCAAGAATCTTAATTTATCGAAAAAAAATTCAAATTAAACGAATTCCAAACTTGGTCGAGTGGGTTAGCCAAATTGTGATGAACTATTATCTAGTTTCACTGGATTGACAGTACGGATATAGAATCATAGAATCTTACAGCACAGAAGGAGGCCATTTGGCCCTTCGTGCCTGTTTCGGCACTTTGAACGAGCTATCCCAACTAGTCCCACTCCACTGCTCTTACCCCATAGCCCTGCAAATCTTTCCTTTTCAAGTACCTATAGAATTCCCTTTTGAAAGCTACTATCAAATCTGCTTCCACCACCCTTTCAGGCAGCGCATTCCAGATCGTAATAATTCTCTGGTCTAAAAAAAAAAGCATTTCCCTTGTCTCCCCTTTCATCAATTATCTTAAATCTGTGTCCTCCGGTTACCGACCCACCCGCCAGAAGATACAGTTTCTCCTTATCAACTCTATCAAAACCCCTCATGTGTGTTCCAAGGCATGTTCCAAGTTCCAATATATATTACTGAAATAGTACATTAAAACCTGTAACTGTTTAATTGGTTCAAGTCTTATTCAGTACAATTTATTGTTGCATCAGTGCCAGTCCACAGTTTGGTATCATTATAATTTTAAATCTTTAAATTCTTCTTCTTGTATGAACAGCTGAGAACTGAAAGCAAACCCTCTATGAAAATGTACAGGCTATCTCTTATTATTCCACCTGACCTTTACGCATTTCTCATCACCTTCCTATTCACTAATGTAGGGTTTTGAATCTGAATGTCTAATTTACTGTCAATTCTATTATCTATAACTTTCTTTAAAACTTTCATGTGTATAATTTTATTAAATGGCTTCAGATAATCCAAGTAAATTACTGGATAACCGTCATGCACCAGTTGAGCGATTGTGTAATTCAGAGAAACTATTTCCTCTGGTGGGGAATCCAGAACAAGGGCCTATAATCTTAAAATCAAAGCCAGGCCATTCAGGAGTGAAATTATGAGGCAGTTTTTCACCCAAAGGGTAGTGGAAATCTGGAACTTTCTCCCCCAAAAGGCTGTGGATGCTGGATCCATTCACATTTTCAAGATGGGGGTAGATAGCTGTTTGTTGGGTCAGGGTATTAAGGGATATGGGCACGGGGCGGGTAACAAGTCGAGGTACAGATCAGCCGTGATCTTATAGAATGGTGGAATAGGCTTGAGGGGCTGAATGGCCGACCTCTGTTTCTATGTTTCTAATTATTGGGGTAAATAACATTTACAGCTCAATGTAGGGAAAATAGAATGTTAGTTCAAATAGGTGGTACTGTCACTCTGTTAGATCTTGCACAGAATTATGTTTTCATTTTGTTTATGTGTACAGAAGGCTATAAATTCTATACAAAGGATGAATTCTGGGATAAACTCCCAAGAAAACTACAGTATGAAGAAATG